GGACCAAAGGCAGGATGAATGAAGTTCCCCGCGGAGGCTGGGCTGCAGCAGGAGCAGCCAGCAGCCCAGAAGCAGCAGACGAAGAGAAGAAGCATGGAAGGGGCGACAGCAGGACTTGCTTGGAAAAACCAAGTATTTTCACCCAAAGTTAAATTTCCCTGAGGTACACGTTATACTTCACCATCTCTCATCATCACCTGCCAAGTATGTCCAGGTCCTTGAGGGAAAGCAACCCTATGGATGGTTTTGCCTTTGTCCAAAGCAGGGAATACCCACACAGTTTTCCCCAACAAATTCCTTTCATACACTACAGGGACTTTAACCCCTTCTACTGTATGCAAAGAGTCTGATTGGGCAGGATCTGCTCGATTGATGGATCCTCTGGTGTTAGCTAACCAGGTGGCTTGTGCTAAATGCTTGTCCCAGTTTTTAAAGGTTCCACCCCCCATTGCTTTCAGAGTAGTTTTTAGCAGCCCATTATATCATTCAGCTTTCCCAGAGGCTGGTGCATGACAGGGGATGTGATACACCCATTCGATACCATGTTCTTTGGCCCAATTGTCTATGAGAGTGTTTTTGAAATGAGTCCCATTTTCTGACTCAGTCCTTTCTGGAGTACTGTGTCACCACAGGACCTGCTTTCCCAGGCCCAGGATGGTGTTCCAGGAAGTACTGGGCAGTGGCATGGGATACTGGATATGTTTCCAGCCTCCTGTAGTTGCTTTCACCATGGTAACCATGTAGTGCTTACCCTGGCGAGTTTGGGGGAGTGTGATGGAATCAATCTGCCAGGCCTCCCCATACCTATATTTTGACCATTGTTCCCATACCACAAAGGCTTTAACTGTCTGGCCTGTTTGATTGCGGCGCACGTTCCACAGTCGTGGATCACCTGTGCAACAGCATCCATGGTTAAATCCACCCCTCGGGCACCAGCCCATTCGTACCTTGCATCTCTTCCCCAATGTCCTGAGGTGTCATGGGCCCACCAAGCTAAAAACAGTTCGCCTTTATGTTCCCAGTCTCAGTCTGTTTGGAACACTTTAGCAGCCTAATCCACTTGCTGGTTGTTCTGGTGTTCCTCAGTGGCCCGACCTTTAGGTACATGGGCATCTATGTGATGTACTTCTACCACGAGTTTCTCCATCCAAGCAGCAATGTCTTGCCACAGCATGGCAGCCCAGATAGGCTTACCTCGGCATTGCCAGTTGTTCTGCTTCCACTGCTTCCGCCACCCCCCCAC